TCATCAGGTGTTTCCTTAATTAACATCTCGTAAGTTTAGGATAATTGTGTTCCCTAAGAGCAGGAGTTACGTAGACTCACCCTGGTGATGGGTAGACTGTGTCTTCCTTACTACAGCTACAGTTCCTTATGTAGTCCTACAGTGGGAGGGAGCCCTGCCCATGCCTTTGGTCATCAATAACATCAGTAAATTGCTTCTGGACTGTAGCGGCAGAGCTATTAGCATTGTTTAATGTTAACACACACACACACACACACACACACACTTATTTTACTTGGAAAATGATTTTTATAGAGAGAGAGAGAGAGACGGGGGTAGTGTGGGAGGGTTTTTTGTGAGTCTGGGCATGATTGCCAGGATCACCACCGATGATAGGATAAAGACGCAGCTCCACAGAACCAATCGGTGTGTTAGTAGTTCAAACCCTTGGAGGGAAAGAGAGAGGAAGAGAATGTGGGAGAGAATGGAGGGGTGAGGGAGGGAGGTCCAACGGTTTATATAGGGCTGTACACGAGACACAACAGTAAGTCCTCATAATGATGTGGTTTTGGTGCCCGGAGCTCTAGAGGGGAGAAGCTTTAGTATATAAGTCATGGACAACCTTGGCCACGTGAGTGACACTCCTTCACCTCAGTGGGCCACATGAGTGACACTCCTTCACCTCAGTGGGCCACGTGAGTGACACTCCTTCACCTCAGTGGGCCACATGAGGACACTCACCTCAGTGGGCCACGTGAGTGACACTCCTTCACCCAGTGGGCCACGAGTGACACCTTCACCTCAGTGGGCCACGAGTGACACTCCTTCACCCCAGTGGCCACGTGGTCTCACCTCAGTGGGCCACGTGAGTGACACTCACCCCAGTGGGCCACGTGAGTGACACTCACCACCTCACTCACCAGTGGCCACGTGAGTGACACTCCTTCACCTCAGTGGCCACGTGAGTGACACCTGTGGGCCACGACACTCCTTCACCCCAGTGGGCCGTGACGTGACCACTCACCAGTGGGCCACGTGAGTGAGTGACAGTGACACTCCTTCACCTCAGTGGGTGGGCCACGTGAGTGACACTCCTTCACCCCAGTGGGCCACGTGAGTGACACTCCTCACCTCAGTGGGCCACGTGAGTGACACTCCTTCACCCCAGTGGGCCACGTGAGTGACACTCCTCACCTCAGTGGGCCACGTGAGTGACACTCCTCACCTCAGTGGGCCACGTGAGTGACACTCCTTCACCTCAGTGGGCCACGTGAGTGACACTCCTCACCTCAGTGGGCCACGTGAGTGACACTCCTTCACCCCAGTGGGCCACATGAGTGACACTCCTTCACCTCAGTGGGCCACATGAGTGGGCAGCAAGTTGCCCATCACTGTTCTTTACTTTTAGTTGTGGATGGAGCCCTTGGGTGACGTCAGTGTGTGTGTGTGTGTGTGTGTGTGTGTGTGTCGTGATTTAGAGGGAGATGCAGTAATCATCAATAACCCAGGTCAGGCCAGGCCAGACCACGTTACAAGTGTAATACAAACTCGCTCCATTGACCTAACACCGTGTGTAGGTTGGTCGTCAGGGAGGTAAGGTTTAATATTTTGTGCTCACTGGCCATGACTTGGAGGATCTACTGTATGAGTACTACTTGTGGGTCACAGTTTAACATAAATCATCATTATTTCCTAGTTATTCTTTAACCAGGAAGAAGGTTAGGTTAGGTTAGGTTAGGTTAGGTTAGGTTAGGTTAGTTAGTAATGTTGCTAATCTTCTACTGATCGCCGAGTGATTGAGACAACTTTAAATTTTCGGGAACGAGTAGAGAAGTACACTATACTGTATGTTGAAATTAATGTTTCGTAATTATCCTGATTTAGTAGATACAGTATATATGTGACAGAGAAAGTATGACTCAAACAGCATTAGGACAGGCACGGTTCTGGGTAAATCGAATTTTGTCCATTTGAAATTTCATTAGTGTTCCCTGAAAGACTTTATTTTCTCTGATGAAACACTTCACACTCGTTAAAACTTCCTCTAGTCTATTTCTCAAAGAATCATTCGTTCATCCTGCAGTTGCTGGAAAGTCTCAGTGCAATTCCGATACCATTTCGACTGTTATTTATTTATTTATTTATTGTAAACTTAAGTAGGAAAGTTTGGTGATTGTTCATGTTTATTATTTGTTCCGCTCTGTAGTTATTAACACTAGTATTTTTGTCTTCAGATTTTCTTATATTGCATCACCATACGCCCCTATATTGTCTCACCATACGCCCCTACACTATATTGCATCACCATACGCCCCTATATTGTCTCACCATACGCCCCTACACTATATTGCATCACCATACGCCCCTATATTGTCTCACCATACTCTCCTACACTGTTTTGTCTCACCATACACAGATAAAATAAAAACTTTCAAATTTAGTCAATATAAAGTAGCCGTAAATGAGGAGATAAAGAAGTTAGAGAATTATGATGACAAGATAACTATAACGTCTACAGCCAAGTAAGGATGAGGAGGAGGCAGAGGTTGTTAGACACATTTAACGAAGACAGAAGGAGGTGCTGTTAGTAACTGGAGAATAATTATTGACCCCATACACCAGAGCATATATCCTTGATGCTAGAAGGACAACGAACGTCAATAATTCGACATTGGAGCCCAATTTTCATATTTTAGTCATAAATGTTTGTCTGATCTATAAAACAGAGTCAAGCATAATAAGAGCGCCATTGATGAAAGTGGGTGATATTGTAGTGAAAACATTTCTTGGGATAAAATATAAAAACAAGTAAACTTACGGTGTTGGAAGTAACTTGAGAGTAGTGTAGATGAAAGACTAGCTTGGTGGGTGAACATACATCCATACATCCCAAGTGACGGATGAAAAGGGTCCAGTATAAGGTTAACAGGTGGATGGCAGTGGGTAGTAGGTACCGTGGCACGACCGACGTCACCAGACCCACACTGCCGGCAGAAGTGTGGATATATATGCCAGGCCTAGGACAGATGAAGGCTGGCTGAGAGGAGTTGGCAGTCCCGGAGATGTAAAGCGTCGCTACCTTATTACATTTACATAAAGCAAAAAGAATTATTACAGGCAGGTGTTGTGTGTGAGGAGGTAACAGTGAATGGTGGAACAAACCTAATATCAAGATTTCGAGTTACTGGGACAACAAAGGAAAGTTTGACATAACTGTAACGTAAATAGTTAGTTACCTTCGTCACGTTAAACATAACTCCTTACCAGTATTAGGCCAATGTCTTGATATACAGATATACACAAAGATGGTATTTTCTGGCAATTGAATTTCCTGGAACTTTGATATTGTTAATTTGTTTGTTTGATGATAGAGCGTAAAGAGGTCCAGGATGGCAAATCTTGTCAAAACAGATATTGTATATGAGTGTGTGGCTGTCACTTCAATAGGAATGTGTAATCAAGTGTCGTAATTTTTATCATTCATTTTACGCAGGAATAAGGCAGTACTTTTTTTTGTAAGTGGCTGTTCTAAGGTTACATGAACACGTCTCACGCACAGTGATATCACCTTACTTTTTCTTTATCCTGGTTGTTCTGTTTACTGCTTGGGCGGTCGGTTACGTCTCTTACACACTGTTGGCAAGTACTGGTTCCATAATGTATCTGTACCTGCGCCAGTATTGAATGAGCTCACACTCGGTGCCGTCACAACACTCTGGCAGATTGTTCCAAGAGTTTACAATTCTCACTCCGAAAACGTTAGCTCTAAAATTTTCTAAACTTGCTGTTTTAACCTTAAGCTGCAACCTCTAGAAGGGCGAGCATCCGCCAGCTCCAGCTATGAACACTCGACTGAGTAAGTAAGATGTTTATTAACTTCTATTAAGTCACCCCTTGCCCACTTATACAGTCTTAGAAGCTAGGTAACTGCAGGCGTTCCAATTCTGGGTAACTTAGGTGCCGTAGCGTAGGCACCAGTTTGGTGGCCTTCCTTTGGACGTTTTGAATAATTTTAAAATCAACTGACAGTCTCTAGCATATCTCGGGGACCAGACGAGGTGACAGACGGGGAAGTATTTATCTTGAAGGGCGTTATGAGGGATGGACCATCTAGGTATTTGAACGCCTTTCGTATAAATCCTTAAAGTTAATTTGCTTGATTTGCCTTCTTCGTCACGTTGGGACATGTAATACGTGCCCTTGCTGTTGGTACAACCTAGCGGTCTCCTCGAAGTCCTGGAGCCACTGGGTTTGGTGTAGGATATGTATTTGTCCATCAAATATTTCGCTTTGCAGTCATATGATATTCAGGGGAGTATCCACATTCTTATTTCTCAACGAGTCAGACCTGTGAACACTCTGCATTTCCTCCCCCATCTTGTAGTAATCACCACTGTAACGTTTGAATCTTGACTTACTCCCATCATGTGCAATAACAACTAGCAGTTAATTCTGAAGGAAATGACTGATGCCGACGGGGGCTCCCTGTCCTAGCTTGGCAACGATACCCTCCTCGTTAGTTATGATGAGGTCCAGTGGTTTGGGTGTTTATTCTTCTCTAATGACTCGGTGTTCTTTAACCTGTTGAATAAGAAAATTGTCTCTCGGAGTTTCTGCAAAAAGAGTAGCGGGATTATTAAGGTCGTTTGGCGAGGTTTCATTTCTCCAGTCTATGTCACCCATGACTAGGAGGTGGCTAGAGTTGAGCACCGTTGTGTTGTCAATTAAGGCTCTTAAGTTACCTTGGTTTAATACTCTACAATTTGGGGATCTGTTGATATATCCGACAATGAGTAAGTCTCTTCAGTTTACTTTTAAACCATTTTATTTCTTCAAAAACATCCTCCTCCTACACTCTGACCTGGCTGGCTCTAAGGTCCTGTCTAGTATAAATAACAACACCTCTCTTACAGGTTGTCACCGAGATTCATAAATGAGTTATGTGTGCAGGTGGTGTTGTGTCCACTGTTCTGTGTTTAGCGTGTACTATATGTTCCTGATACAGGTGTGTGTGCCTACAGGTGCAGGGATGGCTGTTGACGGTGGTGGAGACGTCAGGTCATGGGCGCTGCTGGCTGGCGTAGTGGGGAGCGTGGGCGTAGTGCTGGTGGTGGCGGGAGTGTGGGCGGTCAGAAGGTGGGTGACCGCCAGGAAGAACGCAGAGGAACGGCAACAGATATTACTGTGGCCAGGCGTCGGCACCCAGCCCTGCAGCTTCCAGTAAGTACCTATGACACATGTTCTCCCACATGTCTGCTGCTGCACTAATAAATGTCTACCTGGTACTTCATCATTATATCACGAGTAAAATCTATCGCATTGATGATCATCTACTAATATCTCATATAATCGGTGAATCTATCATCCATATCGCACTAATCACACCTGTCTTGAAACACTTGTCACACGTGTTCTATTTATATCACTACTGTCTATTATACATCTGTACCACTACTATTATATGACTAATTCACTGCAGGACACGAGAGATCCGGTTCACTCTACCACCGAGTCTGGCGCCGCTTGCCTCAGCTGTACCAGACGAGCCTCTATCTGACAGTGACCTCCAGCCGCCAACCCATGCCTCTCTCACTGGCTGTATGTATTGCTGTAACTCTTCTGTATCTGTTGTGCTGTAATTGTATCTCTAAACCTGTACTTGTTTCTGTATCCATGGTCTAAAGCCTGTATCTATATATATTTATCTATATCTATCTATCAGTGTTTACCTGTCTATCTGTCTGTCTGGCATCATCTTATGTAATGTGTAGAAAAGTCCCCAATAACAGATATTTTGAACACTTGAGTTTTTGTGGCAGGTGACCCACAATTGTACTGTGTCGCTTAGCCTTCATCTGTGTGATACAATTTGTAGCATAAGAGACTCTCTCTCTCTCTCTCTCTCTCTCTCACTCTCTCATTTGTACGCCTATCACCCTCGCAGCTGGTGGAGGGAGTAGCGGGTCGTCATCCACACAGGACTTCGCATCACCCTCTTCCTCCTCGCTGGCCTCCCTCACCTCCCTGGATACCGTCGCCGCTGCCGCCTCTACCTGTGACGTCAGGCGCAGCTCTATATCTGACATGCGCAGGCGCTCACTCCAAGGTAAGCAACGACACCAACCATGATGTAGGAAGTACTCCTCCTCGCTCAGACGATACCCTATAGTAGGAGTACGAATGTGGCCAGATGAGTGGTGTCTAAATTTTTGACTAAGTGGCCGGAAACACTGTTATTATTCCTCATATTTTGGGTGAATATAAAACGCAGGGAAATCAACATACTGCTGGATCAACATACTGCTGTGAGCAGACACTCAGCGTGTTTACCCTTGTGAAGAACAAGTACCGTTCACCACAAGCAGTCACACCACACACCTTGTGAAGGCTGTTGCCCTAACACACTTTGATCCAATTTTTTCTGAAATAGTAAATCACATCCCGGCTCCGCCCTCACGTTAGTTTTAGTATTGCTCTGTGTATTTGTATATGGAATTGAAGCTCTTATTGTCCAATATGAAAAGCAAACGTTATTTTACCTGAATATAACATCACATCATTTTTGGGGGGTTATTGTACTGTGCACTGCGGGGTATCATAATACAACTTTATAAAGCAACTTTACATGCTTGTATCTCGGGTGCAAATCGGTTATTATACCGTTATTTTGTACTGCTCGACGACAGTTTCATATTTTGTATTGTTAAATGTTATGTTTCCCCAATGTCTTTACAGAACATTTAACTGAGCTAGTGACTAGTGCTAATATTTCAATGCTGAATATGTATATGCTGAAAATGGCAGTTACGTTTAGTCTTAAATATCGGTATTGTTTATAAAAAAATTTCTGACAATAAAATATAGTCCTGCATTTCTGATTTTACATTCACTTCTGTGGAGCGTAGCGCTGACTTATGTTGGCTTACTACACCTGTGGCCGATCACCGATTACCTGCACCATTAAGTGGCCGACTAGTGTACAAAGGTTGCCGACCACTGATGTATAGGAACGGACAGTAACTACGGATAGAGGATATAAGATAGAGGATAGAGGATAGAGGATAGAGGATGTAGTAGCAGCTTTTCTCTTCCTCCTCAGATAGATATAATCAAGACAAACTTATTACTGTACAGACACAACCCCACTCATGCTTCACCCATCTTGCCTCTGCTGTAATTCACTCCATACTCAAAATACTTCTGATATTCTCGCTATATTCGGATACCACAGCTCCTTGTATCAATGAGTCTGTCTTGACGTATATCTCACATCTGCTGCACACACAATGTTCACTTTCACCGTGTACTCCTGTGGCCAATGGGAGTCTCTTAGAGTTACGGATAAACACGCTGACATTTCTCTCCCGATACCCGGTACAGGATTCAGTCTAGGGACGCTGAACCCTGAGCTGTACCGGATCCCTGACCACCTGGACGATCCCGGTACCTACCCACCGGGACACCTGGGACGGCTCTTTTTAACTCTTCACTACAGCCAAGAGAGCGAGAAGCTGCAGGTGGGTCTCCTCAGACTTAGGAACCTCCCCTCCAGGACCTTCGGCTCTACCAACGCCTGCGACCCCTACGTCAGGTGTGTGTAATAATAATAATAATTGATGATGATGATGATGATGAATGATTGTTTAATAATGATGATGATAATGATGGATGATGATAACATGGCGACTTGTGATGTAATGGTCAGCAATCAGCATGCTCGCCTCGCAAACGAGCGGACCCGGGTTCGATCCCCGGGCAGGGTGAAACTGTGGGCAAGTTTCTTTACACCATTTGCCTCTGTCTACCCAGCAATAATTGGGAACCTGGATGTAAATCGATTTGCAGATCGTGTTCCGGGGTAACGGTTAGCCAGTCCGGTCTTCTCGGACTATTCCTTGACACTGGGTCATACAACTCCTTAACTCAGGGTGTGGTTGTTGTGTTGGCGACAGCTTCTACACCTTAAGCAAATTCACGCCTAGGTGGCCCTTGGGCCGGTCATCCTCGTTACACGAGGGGCAACCACTATTGTTATAAGGGTTCATTAAGAAACAGAAGCCGTACGCTGATACTACACAGGTAACATGAGTGGTACAAATATGATATATACTGTATTAACAAGGGGGGGGGAAAGTCAGACAACGGAATTTCAACCTAGGAACAGTGAAAAGGTAAGATTGGCAGGGAGTGAACACACTGGTTGACTACGAGTTGTTGATAATTTTTAAAATGGTTGGGAGTGGTCTGTTCTTATAGCGATCAGTACGTGCTTGTATGGGCTGGATGTGGTTGTAGTGTCGAACAGCAATTCACGGATGAGGGATCTCGGGTGGGAGTAGGAGATGGTGGCGAGGATGGTGTAGCAGCTTCTCCCTAAACTTGCAGATGAGATCATGATGATGGTCAGAGAGAGCTGAGAGGGTCAGTGTACCGATCGCCTATTGGTATGTGGTGTAGGAGGGAGAGAGAATAATCTTGCACACCCTCTTCAACATTCTTTCTATGAGTCCTCACTGTGTAGCATTTAAGGAGGAAGACCAGGCAGGGGAAGCATAGGTGAGCTTAGGAAGTATGAATGTTGAGTAAGCACTGAGCTCCTCGGGTAAGGGAACTCCGAGGGACTTGAGTCGGCGACATATTTCTTAGGAAGTCTGGGAGCCATAACGTAAGATTTCTCCGAAACCCGAGGTCGATGGCTTTGTTAATAATTATGTTTTGGTTAACTAGGTCAGCTCTCTGGGTGAAGTTAGTGAAGGCGACACCCTCAGACGCCTTATGTTTTTCAAGATGGTGGTATATGTAACCGAGAAACCTGACGAGACAGTGAGTGTGGAAAGAAGTCTTCATATTGTTGAAATGCTGAGGATCTATAGCACCTGTAATATCAGCATATGTCCAGTAAAATATCGAAACACGCAGATAAAGCTGGGTATTTGGGTGATGGCAATGGGTTTACATATTGTGGGCTCGTTTACTTGGGCACTGGTGACACCTATAAGGTCTTCCAGTCAGCTGGGCATCTTGCTTGATGGAGAGAAGCATTGATAATGGAGCAGAGAGGTTTAGCTCGCTCTGGAGAGAACTCCTTGGAGAGATTTATTGGTCAGCAGGATTACAAGTAGTATCATGCTGGAGGAACGTCTGGCATATAGTTACAAAATGATTATTAGTTTGTTCATCGGCGTCAGTAAAAGTGAAGTGGATAAGGAAGGCAAGGGGATGTCTTATTGTTAGTCCACAGAGTTCTTAAACTAACCATACTACTGACTGATGTTGGTCTGCTTCAGGTGTTGCAGCATGGTTGGTTAGTGAGACTTCTTTGCAGCGCGTATTTCACGGATGACTGCCTGTAGCGGTCTTGTCGTTGAGATAAAAGGCGCTGTCTCTTTGCTGCATAAGTCTTTTGATCCGAGGTGTGATCCAGGGCAGATCAGCTGTGTGTGTGTGTGTGTGTGTGTGTGTGTGTGTGTGTGTGTGTGTGTAGACATACAAACACAAAACCCATACAAATAAATAATAATGAGAAAATCCTCTCAAATAATTTCCGAATCAAATGTATTAAAAATGTTGAGTCTACCCTCAAGTTTACTCCATACTTTATTGATAACAAAGCACGGAGTAGACTTGAGAGTAGACTCAACATATTTAATACATTTGTTTCTGATTATATGTGAGTGAATTTTCCAATTAATACTTATTTGTGTGTGTGTGTGTGTGTCTACACACACATATATGTACAATATAGGTAAAGGAAATTACTGTCTCTAGAACGGGTTCTTAACCGGGGGTGCAAGACCAGTTTCTTAGGGGTGCGAGGATGCTGCTTGGCTCATCTTAGGGGAGTGGCGTATAAATATCGGTTTTATTTTATGAATTAGTCATTGTTACTAACTTTAAATGTACTAAATTGTATTTATATTGTTCAGTGTTTGTATTAATGTACAGATAATGTGTATTGTTTGAGTATAGATGCCAGCTAGATATGACGCAAGTTACTGGAATAGTTCAGTCTTAAAAAGATCTTTACAATCTCTTTCATCATTACATTACCTTTTTATTGCCAATTTTTCTTGTCTTTTATAAAATTACTGTGAATTATGAGAGAGAGAGAGAGAGAGAGAGAGAGAGAGAGAGAGAGAGAGAGAGAGAGAGAGAGAGAGATTCAGTTTTAAATTTACTGTCAAAAGTCCTAGTGTGCACTCTGATTATTTGAAAAGCGGGAAGAAGGCAGCTGTCAGACGTTTCAGTTCAGAGTCGGCCTCAGACCAGCCACATACCCACACACTTTCCATTTGTCTAAGACAGCTGAGGTCAAGTTTTTAACTATGTAATCATAATGCGTCATCATCATTATCAGATATAATTAGTCCACTACAGGACAAAGGCCTCTCCCAACCTTTTCCATGACCATGTACAGTATTGATGTTTATGAACAGGTATTTTTATGTTTTTATGACCATTTTGATGAGCTGACTGCATAAAGATTATGTACTGAGACAAAGGTTGAGGTAATAGATTGAATATATTGTGTTGTGTGGCGTGCAGAGGCGTGCCTGTCGCCGCTGGGGGTGGAGTTACCCCGGTGGTGTTGTCACAGGATGATAGATTTTTGCAGGAATCGGTTGGATCCTCAACATGATATGTAAGTAGCGCTCAGCACCAAGACGCCAAGGTTCGATGCCATCATGGAGGACAAACAACAGCAACGAAGTCACTGAATTTGGTGCGCAAGCATAATCAATCAGCTTCATCCGCAACATACCATGCAAAGTACTAGCAATTGTAAAGTAATTTTTGCACATTTGTAGTTATCTGAACATACCATGCAAAGTACTAGCAATTGTAAAGTAATTTTTGCACATTTGTAGTTATCTTAATTTATATAATGTATTATTTAGTTGTCAATTGTGTGTTTTTTGCACTTTGGTAATTCATTGCATTTTTTCTATTTATTTTTGAGTTGTCAATATAGATAACAAACCACAGTGGATCTGTTATTAATTCCCATCACAATAAGTTCTTTCATCATTTCGGTGGGAGGGGCGCGAGAACTGCTTGGCGGCTTGGAAGGGATGCGAACAAGGAAAAGGGTTGAGAATCACTGCTCTAGAACGAATGGCTCCCTCTCCCGGCCGCAAAAATGACAGCAACTTTAAAACTACCCTTAGACATTCTTGGGTACATCTAGGGTGTCATCTGTGAATAATCGAAATAAAAATCCGCAAATTTGAAGGGCACGCTGTATATATCGTATACCTCTTCTCTTCACCCTCCCCTCGGACTTCCCGTCACTAACGGGCCACTGTTCCCCAGATTGAGCGTGATGCCTGACGAGCGCCGCTACCTACAGACCAAGCAGAAGAAGAAAACCTGCAACCCGGTGTTCGACGAGCACTTCGGCTTCCACGTGAGTCACCCTCATATACTGCTGTCATATACACACACACACACACAGTAATATCTCTGTTAGCCGGAATCCATCAAACTCCCCGATAGCTGGAATTGAAATTTTCTCGGGAAACTTCCGGGGATGGGGGATTTTTTTACGGGTTTGAGAGATGAAAATCAGGTGCATTTTCTGGAAATTCCATGAAAAAATTTCCGTTACCCGGAAAATTTCGGGGGATGAGGGATACTTTTCCGGGTTCCACAGATGATTAATGAGCAGTTTCTGGAACTTCCAGGAACATTTTCCGTTACCCAGAAAATTCCGGGAATGAGGGATTTTTTTCCAGCTTTGAGAGAGTCGCCTCGTTACCTGGAAATCTCTCATTCCCGGAAGTGCTCTGCACCAATTGGTCCGGCTTGTGTAGATTGGTCCACACTTAAGTGGATCTGTTCTTTTTTTTATATTCTTGGTTAGTCTGTTTGTAAGTTATTTTGCAAAATTACCAGTATGCATGCTTATAATTTTGCAAAATAACCTATTTCGCCACAAAAAAAAACGTGCCATGTACATAATATCCCTCCAAAAAGTCGATCGGATAAAGTCTACGGTCCTAGCTTGCCACAGTTCACTTACTCGCATAACGTGTTGCATCGAAATCCTGTTAATAATGGAAACATGGACAAGATAAACCCTTATAAAACCACACAGGAAAAGGGAAAATACTGGACCACCTTAGCTTTCATCTTTATTCAACACATCTTCAGAGACAACTGAATTTACAGGGATGGAGAGTCTTATATACAGTGGGTGACCTTGTGCTGTCACGGCCAACCTTCCTCACCTATACTTGGCTAAACATTAATGACACTATATTTTTGTGCAAGACACTTCTTTATAGTGTGAAAATAATAGCTTATCGTTGAGGAACTCTGCATAAATTTAGAAAAGATCAGGATTAACAAATTAAAAATAAATAAATGAATAATTTTTTGCAGACAAATGAGTTGTAGTACAGTACTGTATACTGACACTATCGACGGAACACGCGATAAAAAAAAACCTTCAAAATATTTTTAAAAACATCAGTAACGAGTGTGGCTTACAAACAAAACACAAAACAAAGGAACAACCTGATAGTATTGAAGAAATATAATTAAGCAGCATCAGAACCTTAGCAATAATACTCAACGAACTAAACCTACACTGTATAGTATTGTACAGTACAGTATATAATATTGTTATGAACCCTTTTCGCCACTTACCAGCGTCCACCACTGGTCGCTAGCAGCCAGGGTCGTATATACAGAAGCAAATAGGTATATCACAGGTGTCGTCGAATTAACACTAGCTGTCCCGCCAGTCTCCAATAATTCCCCGATGATCAGTATCAGTGTACGGACAAACAACAGGCAGGTAGATTTCCACCAGGTCACAGAAACACACTTGTGAACTGTAGTCTTCTTTAATAATCACTAGATCTTCACAAACCTGTTCACAGGGTATGTGTTCACCACTGGGCTTCTCGCTTCATACATATACAAGCAGCACAGTACCAGTGTACAGTTCCTTAGTCTTTCCACTTTATAGCAATCACAACAATTCCACAACACTTGAACAACAATTATCTTTAGTTGTCACTAGACCTGTACTTCACACTCTGGGCAGAAACGGTCGACTACTCCTCTAGACACCTCCCTCTGTGCTTATCTATCTCTCTTCAGTCGCCCAGAACATTCTCGCAACATCCAGGCGTTGCAGGTCGAAACGAGACCCGCCTGGAAAGTTCTATGATGATCTAGACTTACTATATGTAAGTAAATCACAACAAAAATAGTGCAATACATTCTAGAAAATTCTTACATAGGTAATACATCAATATATACAAGAAAATATCCAAAAACTTGCCAAAATAACTGCTGCTTGGAAAAGAAAATAATCAAAACACCTAGTTCACAAAATTTATAATACTAAAATATGCCTGGGCATAACAGTATCTACACTACACAATTGACTCAGGCCTTGAGTACTGTATGGGTGAATATGGGAGATACTCATCATCATCATCTCCCGACACACTCACTCACTTTGTACGTTTTTAAGTTATTTCTTATATTCCTTCTCATCGTCCCTCGCAGATCCCATTGCGGTGTGTGTCAGACAGGACGCTGCGCATCACTGTGTTTGACGGCGGCCGAAACAAGCGTCAACCTGCCATCGGCCACGTCTTCTGCCCGCTGGCCCAGGTGGTGACGGACTCAGCGGCAGCAACAGGAGCCGCCGTCGCCACCAATGCTGCCGCTATCCCCGCCACGGTCGTAGCTCGCGACCTGGTCAGGGTAAGTCTGTGTGTGTGTGTGTAATCGACGTTCTTGAACACTGTACTAGTTGCCAGTGTACACACAGTATTTGGTAGCTAGTAGGATATATTTGTCTTTGATCTAGGATAGTGGTGAGGAACAATAACAGAGACAAGAACTAGATCAATACTGACGTGAAGAATTAGTTCCTGGGTATCATTTTAGTTGAGGCAATCACTTTTCTCATAGAGTTCTGTATACGCAAGAAGACATCCATAATTTATATTGAATAGGAAGGAGGAATCAAGTAGAACATTTATTTTCCTTTAGTTGTTGTTACACTCTTGATTCTCACAAAAAAAAAGAACTGACAACACCAAAAGCTTTACACTACCTCCCTTCTCTCCCTTGACTCCTCAGACAGTGATCAAGATGTATCCCTTAATGACGCGCCTCCAGCACTACCCTTTCAGCGCCACACCTAAGCATGAGAGAATTTGAACCTGAAGTGCATGATGCCAATTTCTTATAGTTGTCAATAAGAGGTGATGACAAAGTTGGGTTTTTTCTCATCCAGGAGGAGGATTGTGAGGCCAAGAATGATCTAGGGGAACTGCTCGTCTCTCTTACCTTCAACGACACGCTACAACGGCTTACACTCACTGTCTTCCAGGCCAGGGGGCTCAAGGTAGGTCTCTCCCTCTCTCTCTCTCTCTCTCTCTCTCTCTCTCTCTCTCATAACATGAAACCAGTGTCATATCAATAGTTTGTGGTTTAAAATAATGGTTAATAATTTAGCAGTCTTGGGTACCGTAAACCAGGTATACAGTACTCGCATTATAGCCTTCGGTATGGAATAAGTCAGCCGTTACCCCGAGAGTACCTCATATGGACGCATTGTGCAGTTGTGGACAAAAATAATTAGGCAGGGAGGGAGGGCATAGAAAGAAAATTACAGACTTTTAATCATTTGGTTAGGTTAAGTTTGTTTAGATTAGGTTATGTTACGTTATATTACATTACGCTACATTCCTTTTGTCAGTTTTAAGAGAAGTCGACCGAATTACCTAGGAAGAAAATCGCGGAAAGTTCAAAATGCAGACATTACAATTTCTGGGGTAGTGATTAGTTGTTCCTGGGTTAAGGAACAATTTATTGTCCACCTAGTCTGTTTCACCTTAATATTAACCATCCTAACACTAACTTAACCAAGGGAGGATGGAGCACTCCAATGAACACATTAGCCCGCAGCGCCTTACAATAATACTGTGCATTAACACCAGATTATTCGAGGAAAGCAATTTATATATAGTCAGGAATGTTATTGACATCCAACTTTAGATAATTATCTAGGAATAATTTCTCAATGCAACACATTGATTATTTTGTAGTAAAATATAATTATTTGCCTACTTAATTGCAAACAAGGTTAGTGATTATATTATTACAACAACATTAAAAAATTATGAGAAATACTACTCTCTAGGTTACAAACCTGAAAAAGCGACAAATCACCTCCCGCACTAGATGTAGCCCTCCACACGCACAATATCTGTGGACAGTCTTGCCGGTCCCGTGTCGACCTCTCGAGTCGCCTCAGAGCTCACCAACGGAGGTGACATCCTTAATAACTCATATCATTGTATCATAGCTGGATGATCCTCCTACTCAATTCCAGGTGACAGCAAAGTAGTAGTTATATGTTTGTGGTTGTTTCACTGTATGTGTGTGTGTGTGTGTTGCCGTTTCACTGTATGTGTGTGTGTGTTGCTGTTTATGACTGTATGTGTGTGTGTGTGTGGTTGTTTCACTGTATGTGTGTGTTGCTGTTTCACTGTATGTGTGTGTGTGTTGCTGTTTATGACTGTATGTGTGTGTGTTGCTGTTTTTGACTGTGTGTATTTGAGTATGTTAGTGTTTCTGCTTTAACTTCATATAATTACTCAACAGGTTAGTGAGGGTGAGACAATGTCGTGGGTGAAGGTGTCTCTGATGAGTCAACGACGCGTCATCAAGAGTAAGAAAACAACAATAGTACCAGCCATCGACGACCCACAATACAACGAGTCTTTCCACTTCCGGCTGCCGCCAGCACTCGAGGGCGTCCACCTCAACATACAGCTGAACCTTGCTCCTAACTCCAGCTCTAAAGGTAAGTTAGATTTTTTGCCACTAACAAGTAATATATAAGAACAACGATGTTTTTTTTATATGTTACAACTTATGTGGATGATAACCAGTAAACTACGACCATCAATAATTTTAATTACTTCTCTAATGGTAATTACTCACACTTTTTGGTGTTATGTATTACAAGATATTATCGATGTACTTTAGTAAGATACATTAATTTAATTTTGAGAAAGTGTTTTTCACCAATGTATTGTAAATTCGGGAAACAGAGGTGTCAATACAAACCTCTTTTGGAGCAGTCAGTGTTGATTTCCTTCAGAGTAAGAGGTCCAGTTGTGTTGAATGTGTTACCTAGCGTCATAGTTGTGTTGAGTCTGTTACCTAGCGCCATAGTTGTGTTGAATGTGTTGCAGGTCGTGTGGTTAGCCGAGTTGTGATCGGCTCCTTCATGTTCGCTCGTGGTAGAGGACTCAACCATTGGAACGAAGTCTTATCTACCCCTAAGGCGGCCATCCAGTACTGGCACCCCCTCACCGAGTAGGGTGCCACCCACAAAATTAGTGCCACCCACTACATAGTGTGCCACCCACTGAGTAGTGTGCCACCCACAAGATTAGTGCCACCCACTACATAGTGTGCCACCCACTAAGTAGCGTGCCACCCACTAAGTAGCGTGCCACCCACTAAGTAGTGTAAGTAGTGTGTCACCCACTAAGTAGTGTGTCACCCACTAAGTAGCGTGCCACCCACTGGGCAATGCCACCACCAAGTAGCATGCCACCACTAGCAGCACCCACTAAGTAGCTTGCCACCACCAAGTAGTGTCACCCACTGGGCGTGCCACCACTAAGTAGCGTGCCACCACTTTTACCATTAGCGTGCCACCACTGGCAGCGTGCCACCCACTAAGTGCGCGTCTCCACTAAGTAGCGTGCCACCCACTAAGTAGCGTGCCACCCACTAAGTAGCGTACTGCCACTAAGTAGCGTGCCACCCACTAGCGTGCCACCCCAAGTAGCGTACCGCACTGCCGTGCCACCCACTAAGCTACCCAGTAGCGTGCCACCACTCAAGTAGCGTGCCAAGTGCCACCCACCAGCAGCATGCCACCCACTAAGTAGCGTGCCACCACTAAGTAGCGTGCCACCCACTGAGCATGCCACCCACTAAGTAGTGTGTCACCACTAAGTGGCGTACCACCACCAAGTAGCGTGCCACCCACTGGCAATGCCACCACTACAGCATGCCACCACTAAGTAGCGTGCCACCCACTAAGTAGCGTGCCACCCACTAAGTAGCGTGCCACCCACTAAGTAGCGTGCCACCCACTAAGTAGCGTGCCACCCACTAAGTAGCGTGCCACCCACTAAGTAGCATGCCACCCACTAAGTAGCATGCCACCCACTAAGTAGCGTGCCACCCACTAAGTAGCGTGCCACCCACTAAGTAGCGTGCCACCCATTAAATAGTACGACAACCCTTAACCCCATATTACCACCCAGTTTCTCAGTACTAAGAACCAATTATCAGACAATGGCGCCCACTGAACCAAGATCCGTACCTAGTCCTAACTCCTAACCCAATAGTGCAACAGTACTATAGTATTTCCACGCTAACCTGACCCGTAAGCTGCGCCCCTCTTCTATAGCTGATTGGTTCATAGAAAATGTTTGTGTATTTGTCCATTTATTCAAACTAAATATGTTCATAATTGGTAAATAGATCTGGTATTCTTTAAAATAATGTTAAATCACTGGACTATCAAAATGCAAATGATTTTAAGGCATTAGCACTTCAGAGAGGATGTTAGAAAATGTTTAAATATTTATCATAAAAGGTCGAAGTCCAAGATGAAATTTGCTTTCGAATGAAGTCTTTTCATTATTTCTTAGTTTTGTACCAAACATAAAGTAAACAGAAACAATTGATACCAAACATAGCACAATAGGTAATTAACTTACAGTTTGTATGGCTGGATATATCCCAAATCATTTATAGACTGTAACTGATAAAACTCCATAAAAATAAGTGCTTATTCGAAAGCGTATTTCATCTTTGACTTACTACTGTCGTAAAAATGTGCAGTGGTAAGATGTATTAGTGCCATGACTGAACACAAAACTAAGAAGAGTTGAGTAATAGATACAAGGAGTAGGTGGTATAATTTAACCTGTTGTGATGTTAGGCAGGGACGCTACAGCTGTCGACTGATGTGTGTAAAGTCACTACACGGGCCATCTGCGTCCGGCTGTTAAGTATAAATGTGTACTAATCTACATGTGTACAACAACAACAGCTTCCCCTGCGTGTACTGTAGCTTTCTCTCGTGATACAATAAAAACTAAGTACAGAGAAGTGCCGTGTCCAACTCTACTGTAGTGCTTAGCTTTCTTGTTCAAATAGTAAAAGGACAGTGTATCCAATATGTTTATTTGCATATTGTGTCAACACAATTGTATAGTTCTTTAATTATGTATCTATCACCTGAAACAGTCTTAAAACAATTACAAATATCACTTCATATACAAGATTATGTTCCATCGAATGTTGGATCTTGGCAATGTACTCGTAGGTGTGGCTGGGCTGAACACACTGCACTCTGAGTATTGTAACTCATCAGCGTGCACGTGTCGACCAGTGAAGGTTGGTATTGTCACAGCCCGACTAAGTGTATGATTACACCTCTTGCTGATACACTAAACCAAATCATAAACTGCCATGCCATCGACCAGTGACACACACACACACACACACACACACACACACACTAGAGGCAACACACACACACTCCAGGCAACCCACACACACACTAGAGGCAACACACACACACTCCAGGCAACCCACACACACTCCAGGCAACCCACACACACTCCAGGCCACCCACACACACCTGCTCCAGGCCACCCACACACACTCCAGGCAGCTCCACACACCCGGGGCAGCCCACACACTCCAGGCAGCCCACACACACTCCAGGCAGCCCAGCACACACACCCAGGCCAGCCACACACACCCAGGCCAGCCACACACACCCAGGCCACCCACACACACCCAGGCCACCCACACACCCAGGCCACCACACTCACCCAGGCCATCCACACACACCCAGGCAGCCCACACACACCCAGGCAGCCCACACACACCCAGGCAGCCCACACACACTCCAGGCCAGCCACACACACTCCAGGCCACCCACAACACCCAGGCCACCCACACACACCTGTGGGGCCACCCACACCACTCCAGGCCATCCACACACACCCAGGCAGCCCACACACACCCAGGCAGCCCACACACACACTCCAGGCAGCCCACACACAACCACACACACCCTGGCCCCCCTCCTACACATACACACACCCCAGGACCCCTTCTACACACACAGTGTGTGCTGTACATACATACACACCAAGAGAGTACATTATATTAATAACCTGTAATCTTAAGTGCTAATTAGTGGCTTAGATTCATAGTTTATATATATATATATATATATATATATATATATATATATATATATATATATATATATATATATATATATATATATATATATATATATATATATATATATATATATATATATATATATATATATATATATAGGAAACATTTAAGTGGTTGCTGTACAGTTATAAATTAAGGAAAAGTGTATATTATTTTAACAGTAGTATGTAGTGTAGGTAGACAGTCGTGTACCATTACCAAGACAATACTCGTGTACCTTAAGTGAATAAAGTCATATCATTATGTGTATTGACTTATTAACCCTTCACCAACCACGAGGATAACTGTGACTATAACGAGGGCGACCAACACCACCACTCTTGAAATGTTTTGTATATATCAGCAGGGAAGTCATCATCTGTAAATAAAGCTTCATAACAAGTTGCTTAGGAAGCTCTTAGCACCTCATCTTCCGATGATGGGCTAAAGTATGAAATATTGTTCAATATTTTTGTCTGATGAGCGTAAGTGACCATCGGATAATTTCACTGGGTTGGGATGAATTAACTTTCTTGTATATCACTTTAATCCTGGTGAATTAGTTGATATAGATGAACCAAGATTATATTATAAGTATATTATAACAGTTAAATTATAAAATAAAACTGAGTTTTCCTAGTAAATTGTGTACTGATAAACTAGAAAGGAGATGCCATACGTGTCAAACGGTGATTGGTCCCCGCAGGTTTAACCAGGGTAATAGGCCTGGCCAAAAGATTTGCACAAGCTGTTCAAATGGCAGTCTAAGGATGTAAACAGAGAAACCAGATATCAGATGAACAACGATGTAATAGAGATATCCGAATGTGAGAAAGATTTAGGAGTACTTGGGTTCATGCAAAGGATGTTAGTTACAAGACTAGCGAGGTCATCTTAAAACTATATCTTGCGCTTGTGAGATCTCAATTCTGGTCACCGTATTACAGAATAGATGTAGAATCCCTAGAAAAAATTCAGAGGTGAATGACAAGACTAATCCCGGGCATTAGGAACCTTGAGTACAGAGACAGGTTAAATCATCTTAATTTGCACTCCCTCGAGAGACGTAGAGTGAGGGGCGATATGATAGAGGTGTATAAATGGAAGTCAGGGCTAAACAAAGGTGATATAACAAAGGTACTCAAACTATCCAACCAGGAGCGAACTCGTAACAATGGTTTTTAATTACGCAATTTTAGATACAAGCGTGAAATATGTAAACATTGGTTTGGAAATAGAGTAGTGGGTGGATGGAACAAGTTACCAAACATCTTCATTAACTCGTATACGCTTCCTCCCATCCACCCACCCACCCTTCCTCCCACCCACCCCCTCCTCCCATCCACACACCCAACCTCCAACACACACCCTTCCTCCCATCCGCACACCCAACCTCCAACACAGCACCCTCCCATCCACACACTCCTCCCATCCACTCCACCCACCCCATCCCTCCCACCCACCCTTCCTCCCACCCACCCCTTCCTCCCACACACCCCTCCTCCCATCCACACACCCTTCCTCCCATCCACATATCCTACCTCCAATCCACACACCCTTCCTCCCATCTACACACCCTAGAAAGAAAAATAAATTAATATTTGATGATTTTGATATTCTTCATGAGCAAAGAGCGAGTCATCAGTCGAACAGTAACTCACGTCTCACGGCCTAAAACCCCAAATAATAATAATAATAATAATAATAATAATAATAATAATAATAATAATATTAGTAATAAAAATAGTAATGGAAGTATTACGCTGATGCTAACCGTGGACGCCAACTGCTTGTTTGGTTGTGGACTAGTTTAGTGACGTAAGAGCGGATCGTTGACGAAGCTTCGAAACTTATGACTATCTTTCGTTAATAATTATCAGTTTTATTTTAGCTAATGGTAGATAGAAGTGATTTAAGAAAATTAATGAGATTATAGATGACGGACCAATCGTGTATGGTGTTCTTTCCGCCGTCCAGTCGATTATTTTCATATGAATCAGTAAAGCGAAGCAATGAATTAAGGAATTGAAGCACCTCGGGTTCGCCACTCGCCAGTGATCATTAGAGATACGGCAGTGGTGGTGGCAACATGTGTGTGTGTGGTCATACAGTATTTGATCGCTATTTCCATGTTTTACGTTTGCTGTTTGTGGATTACCTCGTGTTTGTGGCGTCGTGAGGACTTCCAGGACTCTACGTTGT